AGGGATAGTCGCCTGGCACCTGTATTCATCTAGCAGCCCTGACAGTGTAGTAGGTACAAATTGGGCTCCTAACCCTGCCAGGTCAGTAGTTCAAAACCACCAGGCACTCTGTGTGTGAAAGACCGTTCTAGTCCCCTAAAGAGTCCCAATCTCAGAAACCCACAGGGACAGTTCGACCTGCCTGATAGGGTCACTATGAGTTAGAATTGACTGAATGGTGGTGAATTTCTTTTTGATATTCATCTTATTTATAATCACTCAAAATGGAAATAAACCCTCACTTTGCCGTTGTTTCCTCTTTTTAAGTTGGCCTGGACTCATGGTGACCGACCCCATGTCTAAGAGAACAGAGCTCCATCCAGTCCTGCTTGGTCCCCGCGTTGGTTGTAGGTTGGACTAATGGGATCCAAAAGGTTTTCCTTGGCTGATTTTTAGGAGTAGGTCGCCAGTCCTTTCTTTCTAGTTTGTCCTAATGTGGAAATGCCACGAGAATGTGTTTAGAATGGTGCTAATTATTATGTCCAAACGAAAAGTGAAAATACTTGCTTGTATCACTTGCTTTTTCTAAAGAAGAAATTCAAAATGAGAGGTTATTGTTATTTTTTAATTACTCATCTGCTTGCATATTGTCAATTTTATTTCCTTTACCATAAAAAGGAGTCAGTCAATTTAGTGCACACAGGCTCATTTGAATTTCAGCCTGTCTACATCTGATGTATTTGTAAATTCCTTTGGCCTCTGGAGATAATTTTAAATAACTCAAGAGCAGATGTGAAAAGGAAAACCTCCTGATGAATGAGTAATTGAAGTGTAACATTTATTCCTTACTACCCATTTTTGTCAAGTGCTTAGAATCCGTAAACAAGTTAAAACAGAAGCAAACCACCACAGCATTGCATTCCGATCATCTGAGGAGTTGAGGACCGTCCTTTGTAGAGGCCGTCCCCAGAGTCGAGTTTTATTTTAGTCATTGGCAGTGTCAGTATGGGAGAAAACTGATGTAACCATTTTTGAATTATGAACAGAGATTTTTAGACTTCCTTATTGACTACTGAATAGCTCCTGTGTGTAGATTAGATTTTAAGTGATCAAATGAATACTATCTCAATGAAGCAATTCAATCACTCATCATGCATCATCCCTTCAAGTGGGACGGTTTCAGAATATGAGATCCATGGGTGTACTGGTTTCATTTTATGAAATGCGATGACTCATCAAATCACTTACGAACATTTGTTGTTGTTGTTATTGGGTGTCTTTGAGTCAGTTCCAAGTCATAGTGATACATGTACAACAGACGGAAGCATTGCTTGGTCCTGCACCATCTTCACGATGGTCTCAGTGGTTGAGCCCATTGTGACAGCCACCATGTCAAACCATCGCCTTGTGGGTCTTCCTCTTTTCTGTGTAATCTCTACTTGATCAAACATGATGTCATTTTCTAGGGACTGGTCGTATTGCTGCCAGTCTTAACTGGAACAGAAATTCTCTAGGTTGTTGGGCGGAAAAGAGGTTTATGCAACTCAGTACATTACTTTTGTTGTTTTCGGCACCTATACATGTTTTTGCTTATAGAATTAATAAAGTAGACCAGCGGTTCTGGTCAAACAACCCTTTCACAGGGGTCACCCGATTCATAACAGTAGCAAAATTACAGTTATGAAGTAGCAACAAAAATAAAATAATTTTATGTTTGGGGGGTCAAGACACATAAGAAACTGTATTACAGGCATTAGGAAGGCTGAGAATCATTGAAGTAGACATTGCCATTTTATTTCTTTTACATCATTGGTAGTGGGGCTCAGCAAATTGATCTGGACAGAACATTTCAGTTTAACAGATTTTCCCTGTTTGTTTGTTTATTTGTTTTTAATCGTGAGTTTACATTTCTCTGATAAAATGGACAATGACTGCCCACGTCTGGGTAATAACTACAGCTCATAGTCAGTCTTAAAAGAAATCAGAGAAAGTTACTGTGAATGAAAGTCAATCATAAACTCGTAAAGAAGAGCTGAGACTCCAGGCTGAGAGTACAATGCCTGTGTGTGCAACACAGCGGTCCCATCACTTTGAAATCAAAGGGCAGACATACCTCAGCAACAGTAAAGGGAGAAAAAGAACTGTTCATGAGGAGCAGAAATCCAAGAGATTGAGAAAATGAAACCAACCTTAAGGCAAGTAGAGACAATGAGTAAAATATCCACTGCTGAACAGTGAAGTCTAAATCTTGTTTTTGCTTTCCTTCTGGTGATATCTGACATGATTGAAACCTTACATCAGTTTTTTATACAACGGTAATCTCTTTTATACAACGGTTGAGCATTATGGGTACATGGGAGTGACTTTTGCATGAAGAGGTGCCATTGTTCAGCAGAACAAGTCAGCAGTCTGAGACAAACATTGGAGCCAGGGTATTCTGGAAGTTACCAGGAATTCTTGTCATGTAATTATGAGAGCTTAATACTTCTAAGCCTCTAGTTATTAAGATGTAAAACTGAAATAATAACATTTCTCACATTATGAAGAATAAAGATAGAATTAGCAAAATACGTAAAAAATACTGAATGGTAAATGTAATTTAGCTCTGTTGTGACAGTTACACAATCTCCTGTCAACTTGTGAAGGGGTGGAGTCTAACCTGTCAATCAGGTCACAGCTTGATGACCTTATTTGGAGGTGTGAAGGAGATAAATAGCTCACTGACGGCTAGATACACTCACTCTCTGTGAAACATTCCTGATGACAAGCCACATGGAACTATGCTGATGGCAGCCAGAGCCTTGGAGCTGGAGGAGCCACGTGGAGACCCACACCCACACTAAGATGCTTCCACTGCCACTGGATCCACAAGTCTTTCCACCTAATGGCCTCTGATCATCCTGTGTTTGGTGTCATTGCATGTGTTGCGTGAGTCTAAAGAAGAATTTATGGACTAGTATCGGATATATGGGCAATAGCAGACTTGTGGACTTGATCTGGACTGGGCTTGAATGTGTTCTTAATGTGCAATTGCTCTTTGATATAAAGTTATCTCTTACACACATATGAGTGTCTCTGAATTTATTTCTCTAGTCAACTGGACCAAAATATATGTGTTTCTCCCGGCCACCCTCCCCCACCCCCAACACACACATGTGTTTCCCTAAAGTATCCTGCATTACAGGAGACATGTGGTATGAATGAGGACACATTATTCCCAAAGTATGATAATAAAGATGAACAGGCCTGAGAAGTGGGTTAGTGCCAAGCCATTCAATGCTTTAAAGGTTTGGATGCTGCCATTGGGATTGCTCAGAAGAAGAGACGGGTAAGGGCTTTTAAAAGATATAGTAGACATCTGCATGACTAGTCGTACACAAAAGATGAATTTCAACTGATTTTCATTGACCCTGAGGAGAAGCAATGGATTTATATTTAGCTCTGGGGAGGTGGAGAGTTTTCTGTAAAGCCTTATAATTGAGTTTTATTTTGCACTTAACCATCTCCAAAAAGAAATGTGAAAATTGTCATCCCTTTGGTTAATCTTGATGTGGGGAGGAAGGAAGTCTGTTGATAAGTTACATTGAGGGGGTACTTCTTCATGAGATGCAGACATAGGCCTTTCCCCAACCTGTGAACCTTCACAGCAGCCTTTCACAGTGGCTCCTGTCACCCTTCTTTACTGAGGAGGGAGTGGAAGTGGAACAAGTTAAATAATTTACCCAACTTTGCTCAGCCTGGTAGAATTGCAGTTAAACAAGATTTATCACAATCCAAAGCACCTATTTTCCCCCTCCTATACCATTCTGCTTCTTTCCATAAATGAGATGATTTAAAAGTGATTGAAAGGTGATAATTGTGTTTCTGATTTCCTTTGCTTTCAAGTTTCAGATTTAAGCCTTAGTGCCTTAGCCCAGTGGATACAGCCCCTGAAAGTGGCTGCATTGCCACAGTTTAGATCTCCCATACCCCTCTTTCATTCTGCTCCACACTAGTGGAAAACTTGGGACAGGGATGGTAATAGCCCCAAACCAAATCCACTGCCATTGGCTCAATGGAGGCTCATAGCGTCTCCAAGATGAGCAAGCAGCTTCATCTTTCTCTAGGAGAGTGGTTGATGGGTTGAACGGAAGATCTATGGATCACCAGCTCAACGCCTTACCCCCAGAGCCTCCAGGGCTCCTCAGAGATGGTATTGAGCCCTGCTTCTTCTTACTAAGATGCTCAAGTTCAAGGTCCAGAGAGGGGAGTGTGGAGAGTGCCCCATGATCTGTGTTCCCAACCATGGCTTCAGTCTGAAGCAAACAGATGCCTGAAAATTAACCCGAACCCCCACTTTCTGAGCAACAGACCTTTTGCAACCCATCTTTGGATATTGAAATTATTATTTCAAAGCTAGTGGGTGACAGAGAGATTTGGTGAGGAGAGAGAAGATGCTGGATTTGCTGAAAGGATATTTTTTCTGCATGTCTTCTCTGTAGACTGGAGGAATGATATGTAAGGGGAGAACATATTCAAGTAAATGTGGTATTGTGAGGAGAGTCTGTAATATGAGCCTGGAGTTTTAAGGAAAGATTCTCCCTCTGGTGGTTCCTGGGCCAGAATTAACCCCTTCATAGCCCCAGTGACACTCTCTCAAGCTTGATTTGGTTCATAGGCACAGAACTTTTTACAAATGATTCTTCACCCTCCTGTTCACCTGGGTACCACTTTAATAAAGTTAACGCTCTTCCCAGTCTCTATCTGTGTGTGTGTGCATGTCCAAAGGAGACCAGCTCTGGGAAAGACAGTAGAGTAGAATCGAGGGCACTTCCAAACATCTGAACTAACCCAGCTAGTCTCCATAAGGAGCAGCCTCGAGCTTCCAGACCTATGCAGTCCAAATCAGCCCACTTAGTGAGTGTGAATTGAAGCCCTGGGTTTAATGATTCATTAGCAGGAAGCTCTAGTGACAGCTGCAAAGTTAACCCCAGTCACTGCTGCGCTGAGCTGTCTGGGATCCCCGGGCAGGCAATACTTGCATGAGCTGCAAATGTGGTCAGTGGAAATGAGCTCTCAATTCAGCCTGGTGGCACGTGACTTCCTATTTCTGTAAGGTACTTCCAAGAGACTTCCTCTGTAAAAAAAATCGGCTCTAGTCCCGGGAGATTTCATTCAGCCTTGAAGCCAAGTTTACTTCCAAGCCGGTACTGAAGTTTTCTCTGAGATTCTGTTGTTAGTTTCTTTTCTCTCTCTCTCTTCTGCCATTGCCAGCATGCAAGGATCTTGTGGCTCCTGTCCGTGATGGGAAGCTGAATACACTGGTGCAGATCTCTGTGATCCACCCCGAGGAGCCCAGTCTGACAAGATATTCCAGCACGGAGGTGGTGGAGGTGAGCACCCAGGCTGTGTGTCTGCATGACCGACTCTCTCTCTCTCTCTCTCTCTCTCTCTCTCTCTCTCTCTCTCTCTCTCTC